AAGAGTCAAAGGCTTGTACCCAGGGTGATACTATTAGGAAGTAATGGAACCTTTAAGTGATGGGGTCAAATGGAGGCCTTTAAGTCATTGAGAGTATACCCTTTAAGAGATTTGGGACCCCAGCCCTCTGCCCACTCTTTTTTTTTTTCTTGGCAATGAGATGAGTAGTTGGGTTCTACCATATATTTGTACTATGATGTGCTGTCTCACCACAGGTCCAAAGCAGTGGGCCAATCCATCATGGACAGGAACCCTCAAAACTGAGATCCAAAGTAAACCTTCTTCTCTTTTTAAGTTGATTATCTCAGATATTTTGTTACAGTGGTACAAAATGGTCTACCACCATCTGTATGTTAAATGCATTGATCATAAAATAATACTACTTATTGTCTAGGAATACAGAATTTCTCTATTTGCAAATCATAGAAGACTGGTTAACAGCCTCTACCTCTGTGAGATAAGAGACTAGGATCGAAAAGAAACATTTTTCAAGGGGCACTATACATTGAAATAAGGTTTCCATTTGCTTATCTAGAAGCTTTAGTTTTATATACATTTTGCACATGATTCCTACCATTAAATTAAGGAAATAAACACCCGTGCCACTCTACGTGGTTCAAATTTAAACCTGTCAAGTATGCAAAAAGAATTTGCTCAAAGTCCTCTATCGACTTCCTTGAACTGTTGTCATGATTCTGGGCCCTGGGGATTCTTCAAAAGAGGAACAGTTGATGATGCAGGGAAAACCTTTTCCCTCTCTCTTTTGTGCCTCTATGGAGGCAAAAATTAAACTACTCTGCAGACATGCAGGAGCCCAATGAATCTCTGCCTGTTCAGTGCATCTTGGTGTGAAGACAATACTGTGTGGGCTATGTCACATGCACCCCCTCACTGCCTTCAAGACTTCTAAGTCAGCCATGGGTTCTAGAAACATCCTTTGATGTATGGAGATGGAACAGAAGATAATGCAAGACCAAGGCAGCAAAGGGTGTCAGAGAATGTTCCATGGACCAACGATCCATGGGCTGGACTCGGAATTTCCCAGTTCCCTTGTGAAAGATCAGTGGATTGTAAATATACTGGTTAGAGATCCAGTCAAAATAGGGATGGTTCCGAGTTATTGGGAAAGGGAGGTTCTTTATATTAAAATTGCTGAACTACCAGTTGCCATAAGGTTACTACAAGGGAAGAGAGATCTGAAATTAAAGCCAAATACAATAGAAAAATGAGACACGGTAAAGAGGGAAACATTTTCCATGGTCTTCTAGATCCAACTACGTGCTCAGGTAGAAATACCCTTGGACTTTTTAGTTATGTGCACCAATAGCATCCTTGTTATTTTTTTGCTCCCAACTGTCTACATGTGTATGTATATAAACATGTGTGTATGTACATTACACAGATACATATGAGCACTGATCCAAGGGATTGGCCTATGTAGTTGTAGGCACTGGGAAGTCCAATATCTAGAGCAGCTCAGCCAAGTGGAAACTCCTAGATAGGAGCTGATACTACAATCCACAAAAACACTCTTTTCTTTCACAGGGACTCCTCTGTTCTGCTAAGGTCTTTCAACTGATTGGATGAAATCCACCTAGATTGTCAAGAATTTTTTCTTTTTTACATAAAATCAACTGACTTCAAACCTATAGAACACCTCCACAGCAGTGCCTCCATCACTTATTTAATTAAAAGACTGGAGTACCATAAGCCTACCCAAGATGGTGTGTAAAATGGACAATCACAACCAGTTTTCCTTCCATCCTTCTTTCCCCATTGGGAGAAAAGGTCCTTGAGGACAGAGGTCTCATCTGTAGTGTTCTTTGTTTTATCCCTAGGATTGTGTTGAGGAAGCCAATGAGCAACAAGGTAACCATTTTCCTCAGGGTGTCTCAGATAAGCCAAAGTGACACCTCAGGGTGGCCACAAGGTGGCATCCACTGGAGAGATCCTGAGAAGCTGCTTGCTGATCCCTAATTCAAGGATGCAGAAACTGGGTACCAGGAGTCTACAGAGAGCTATCCTGGGCAGCTGCCCTTTGGGCCCTTTCTTCACTTAGTGACATGGAGCCAGAATGCACATTTACCCTCTTGGCTTAGACCCGTCAACCTCGCTCGAGAAGTTACCCCAAGATAAATTCCGAATTGTTCAGAAAGTCTGCAACGGTGGAGTCCTGCGAGCAGGCAGTGAGGCAGCAGGGCATGGGCCCAGGTTCCCAGAGGGACTGAAGCACCCAGATCTGCTCCTTGGGTGGAGCCAAGCCTGCTGCTCTTTCTCACCAAGGCCTGAAGTGCTAATAGGCCCCTCAGCTGCATGCTCTTGTGCCCTTCCCAGGGGCAAAGGGGCACCACCCAGCTGCTTTAGAAACCCTCTCCCCAGGGTGAGGGGAGTCAAGAGAGGAAGACACCCAGCCGAGGGAGGTAATATGGGCTTCTTCCTTATATGTAATAATTTGCACCATCATTATGGTGGCTTATTTATACAGAGTGTATATTTATTGTACATCTTCCCAGTAGCATGGGAAGACCTGAAGAACAGGAATCTCATGGAACTTTCCACCACAGCTAGAACACTGATCAGCCATAGTAAGTGTCAAGAGATCCTAGGGAAAAAAGAAGGAAGGAAAGAAGGAGGGAAGGAAGTGTGTGTGTGTGTGGGGGCCCTCAGAGACTTATGTGTCTCTGAAATTTGGACATGAGAGACCAGGCTGAGGAGCAGGATGATTTTGATCCCCACATCTGGGGCACTACTTCTTTTTATTCTGTTACTGTGTCAAAGTGTTGTCATGGGGCCACACAGTGGCCAGAATCATCAAAAACTGAGCACTAGTCTAACATAGTAGATTTTAAAGTGAATCCAGATATCGTGGTTGTCATCTTTTTTGGTTTTCATCCTAGAGGTCAGGCATAAATTGGCCACACTGATTCTCAATAGGGAGAGGAAGGAAGGTGCACACAGAGAAAAGTGGTCCGAGTTCTGCACTGACGGATGGAAACGCTGCTGAACAGTTCCGAGCTAGAACTCTAGAGTTGACGATGCGGGTTTGACTCCTACCGTCTCAGTTTGCTTTTTCACTGCTGCAACCAAAAGACCTGATAATTTTAGAAAAGAAAAAGTTTATTTGGGGGCTCATGGTTTCAGAGGTCTCAGTCCATAGGTGGCTGGCTCCATAGCTCTGGGCCCAAGATATGGCAGAACATCATCATGGTGGAAGAGTGTGGCAGAGGAAAGTGGCTCAGGATGTGACACCAGGAAGCAGAGAGAGATTCCCCTCACTAGGGACAAAATGTGTACCGCCAAGGAATGCCCCCAGAACCCACTTCCTCCAGTAACACCCTACCTGCCTGAAGTTACTGCCCAGTTAATCTTGATCGGGGAATTAACACTGTGATTTGGGTAAGGCTCTCAAAAGCCATTTCACCTCTAAATACTTTTGCCTTAACTCACACATGAGCTCTTTGGGGACGCCTTATATCTAAAACATAACACCCAACTTGCTCTTTACTTTCTGCAGCCCATGAAAAACATCTTTACATCTCTAAGAGTAAGTTTACTCTTTTATAAAGTACACCTAGAGTCACATCTTCAAACTTAGGGGCTGAAGAAAATAATTCTGGCTTTGTTTTTTAAAGAATGAAATCTTCCAAGGAACTTCAACATACAAAACATACAAAAACAAAACTTATTATATATGGATATTACGTACTTAAATCTATATAATTTATTTATGCAAATAAGAAAAGCAATATGCCTTGCTAATCTGAAGTCTGGGAAATGGAAGAAAATGACAAATTTATATCATTTATATCAAATTTATACCATTTGTTTTTTATTTTCGCTTCCAGGTAAAGTCAGGGAAATTTCCCAGATTAGCACTTATAAATACTCAATGCTCATTTTATAATTCAAAGTCTTCAGTTTAATGAAAATGCAAATGAAGCCTTATTCCAAGTCTTCAAAGAAGTGAGTTATCCTAGCAACTCGATTGAACATGTTCGGGATCACCAATAAGCTAAAATATATTTCATTGACCTAGGACCAGCTGAATTATATTTTTTTATATTTCTACAAATATAGTTAACAAATATCCACAAGAATGTTTTCAGATCCACTGAAACACCTCCAAGAAAATAGTTGCAACATCATTAAACTAGAGAGTTTGAAAAAGTCCCTCTATTTCTATATGCCTGTAAGTCAGATTGTGTGTATCAAACATGTACCCTTGTGCTGGTGCCCATGGGTACAAGTAGCTTTGGGGCACAGTCCCATAACACTCTTTTTTTTTTTTTTAATTATGCTGAGGGTTAAGCTCAGGGCCTTGCACATGTGAAGCAAACCCTCTACCACTGAGCATATGTCCCTTTTATATGGAACTTTATTGCAAAGACAATCTTTTGGTATGCTCACTGTAAGGCAAAGGTTTTCATCTATTATTTGATATCATCTTTCCAAATAAAGCTGTGATGGACACACTATTATTTTCTCATTATAGAAATGGAGCAGGGTGCAGTGGCACCTGTAATCCCAGCAGCTCAGGAGGCTGAGACAGGAGGATCATGAGTTCAAAGCCAGCCTTAGCAAAAGCGAAACACTAAGCAACTCCGTGAGACCCTGTCTCTAAATAAAATACAAAATAGGGCTGGGGACGTGGCTCAGTGGTGGAGTGCCCCTGAGTTCAATCCCCAGTACCAAAAAAATAAAATAAAATAAAATGGGGGAGACTGAGGCTTAGAGAGATGAAGGCTATCCCCAAGCGCTGGTCAATGACAATACTGAAGTCAAATCCATATGGGTCAACTCTGGATTTCTGACTTGTAACCAACCATTCGGGCAACATTTTCTGAATTTACTCAGACCCTGGTACAGGGAAGAAGGGCTCACCCGTGAGCAGTGAGCAGTGGTGTGCTCTGGGCGAGCTGCTGTCCTCCTGGCCCTGCAGCCAGCCCGGCCCACCCCACCCGCCCGGCTCCCGTGGTGGCTGCCAGCTTTCCTGGGCTGGGAAGGAGAAAGCCTCCATTAGCAGAAGGCTGCGGCTCCCAGCGTCCCTGGGACAAGAAGCATCTGTTGCTACTCCCCATTGTTCCAGCCGAGAGCACACTAATTGTCCTCTCCAAAGTTGGACTGCAGTCTCTTGCCAGAGGGAAATTAGGGGCCGATTTTCAGCAGGCGCTGTCCTTTCCACAGCTGTCAGCTGAACAGCCCCAGGAGGGGACGGGCTGATTTGAGGGGTGGGGGAGAGAAGTCCATCCTGCATCCTGATCCACACAGCCAAGGGAAAGTTAGCCTGGCCCTGAGAGGGAGCAGGAGACCCACCAGACGGCCACCACTCAAGAAATCACAGGCAGCCTGGCTGCAACTTCTCTGGAAGGTTCCATAGGATTTCATGGCATGCATGTAGGTAGGTATGGTGGCTCGTGCTGCTCTTGAGTCGTTCAGGAGCTTGGATGGAGGCAGCCTTTTGGAGTAAAATGTGGCAGAGCCCGATTGGCAGTCACACTAGGCTGGGTTCAAATTCAGTTTTGCCACTCATTTAGCTTTGACCTTGAACAAATCATTGTTACTTATTCATTCACCATACAGGGCAACTGGGAGGCATATGGAAGCCAATAAATAACTATAAAATATCTAGCAGCCATTTTTCAGCATACAGCCAGGGTCGAATAAGTGTGATTTATTTTTATTATTAATAGAAGTACCATTATTACTGTAACTCTTAAGGATTAGATCACACATGTGGAGCTGGCTCGCATCCAGGAAGTATCCTAGGTAAAAAGATGCAGGAAGGGAATAGTAACTTTATTCATGTATATTCAAAGAATTCGTTGTTATCAACCACATCCCAGGTACCGTGCTGGTTGCTAAGCATCCAACTGCCAGTAGGAGAGACCTAGTTCTATACTAGGAAGTCACACAGATGGGTGTCTTGATGTGCGGCTGGAGAAGGAGCAAGTACTGTAAGAGTTGGAAGCTTCAGCAAAATGCTGTTGGAAGACACTGAGCCTCAGCTGCCTTGTGGCTCCCAGGCCACTGTTTTTCTGCAAACAAAAAAAGGTCCTAGGGCCACAAGACCTTGCATCAGGAAGAACAGAGGCCTGAGGGTGACTCCTGGTTTCCACACTTCCCTCTCTCAGATGCAATAGGAGGAGATAGGGTGGATTGCTTGTCCATATGGAGGGAAGGACAATCAGTGACGGAGGAACACCAGCAACCTCCGTTACAGCAACCCATACAGGCAAATGCTCGCCTCTTTCTGTCTTTAGACTTCAATCTTCTCCTGAATTGGGACACAATTGCGAACCCCTCCCCAGATGCCCTCCACTGCTTCCTGTCTTGGTTCTCTGGTCTGTGTCCTGTGTCCTCCCTCCTCGGTCAGACTGACAAACAAACACTATTTCATTCTGGGGAGGGAAATGGCTCTCTGGGTGGCCACCAAGGGGCCAGATCATGTGACATGGAAGCATTGAGTCTTGACCAGGGGGTAACAGGAGAAGGAGATAGACAGGTACATTCCCCTTCTTTCTCTCTTCCGTGGACTGTACCGGCATGCAGTCCGTCCTTGCCACATAGAGGCAGCCTGCTGTCCTGGGGGGTAGCAGCTAAGGTGGTAGCAATGCATTAGAGCCCTGACTGCATCATTTCACATCTTCCTTGCATCTCACCCTCTCCAGGCTGAGTCAATATTTCCCATTTAAAGTGCTGCATCTCAATCCCGGCCACAGATTCTATTTGCTAGATGCCCAGGGCAGACCATTCTGTCCTTCCATTATTAACTGTCTATTCTCTTCTGGATCCCTCCACTCTAAAGTTTCTGATTTCTGACTATATTTATAGTTGTATTGGTCTATTTTCTGATGCTATACCAAATTCCTGGAGGTGGGTACTTAAAAAGGAAAGAGGTTTATTTAGCTCACAGTTTTAGAGATTCAAGAGATTCAAGAGTGTGGTGACAGCATCTGCTCAGCTCTATGAATACGCCTTTGGCTGCGTCATAACATGGCAGAAAAATGGAAAGGGTAGTGACTGCATGAAGGAGAGCCCCAGCACATGAAGGGGGCTTACTTTATAACAAGACATTCTCAGGCAACTAACCAGGGTCCCTTGAGAGACATTAATCCCTTCTGAGGGCAGCCTCACCCCCAGTGACCTATATCATTCCTCTAGACCCCACCTCTTAACCCTTCTTAGCATCAGCACGCTGGGGACCAAGCTTACACCACAGGGACATCTGGGGGACATAGTGTTGTCTTACTTTTGGGTCCTTAAGCAAAGCATTTCCTGCTCCTTATTATCTCTGAAACTGCCCAGTTTTTTCTCCGGGACCCTCTTTACTGGAGAATTCAGTCCTACTTCTCATTATCTCACTATTACCAGGTACACCTTCTTCAGGGAATCCTAAGTTGTCCTCATATCAGGTTTGCGCGGAGCCTCTCTTTGTCCTTTGGTAACAACCCATACTTCACCTCCGCAGCGCTCCCTGCCATGTGGAATCATCCGTGAATATTTGAATGATATTCGTTTTCCCTACTCTGAGCTCGATGCTATATGAAAGAACATTGTTCTGTTTTGCTCTTCTCTCTTCTACCTGCACATAGGATAGTTCCTGGAACAAGGCAGAAACGCAAGAAATATTTGTGGCTGATTCTAGTCAATGGAACCTAGGCAGAAATAGCGGCTTCTAGACCATTGTTTATCTCCTGCGATCTCTTCCACCACTTTCTCTCTCAAGCAGATGTGGAACTAGATAACAAGACTTCAAGACTATAGAAGATGGCCTGGAAAACGTCACAGAGTGGAGGAATCCAGGATCCTCAAGGTGCCCCAGGAAGAGGGTCATTCAGGGTCATTCTGGTCATTCACCACGAACACCCTCCACGGCACTTGGAGAAATAAACAGATTGTCTTAAGACACTGAGATGAGGGCTGCATGTTACAGGGGACAAAACTGACTGTACTTTGATGGATACCCGAGCCTGTGATATCCCACAGATTCTGTGATCAATGACCCCACGTGAACGTCACAACCCGACAATAAAGAGTTATCATCCCCGTTGTACAAGTGAATAAACGGAGACTCAGAGAGATTGGCACTTGGCCAAGATCATGTGGCAAGTGGAAGGAGGGCTTGGAACGAACCTGGTCTTGCCGTGTTCCTTCCCCTGAGTCCCTCTGCCCTTTCCTCTGGGCTGGGGATGGTTGTGGGAAGAGTAAGGTGCACCTGGAAGCCCTGGCTGAGTCTGGGCCAGGGCATTCCTGTGGAAGGGTTCCAAACCCCAGAGTTACTGTCATTCCTGCTCCACGGAAAACCAGAGTCACCTGCCACGGAGAGACTCTAGAGAAACCATAGGAAAGACTCAGTCCCTGGGAGTTTCCTCCTGTGTGCTTCATGGACAGAGGGAGGGAGGATTTAGGCAGGGCCTTCTAATTAGCAACAAAAGGAGCTAAATTAAAAAAACAAAAACAAAAACAAAAACAAAAAAAAACACCATTTAACCACAGCCAATGAAATTAGATAAAAATGACCTGCTAGCCTTTATGCAAGGATCTAATGCTGCCCTTCACAATAAAGGCTTGCAAGATACAGTAAAATTAATTTTATATTGGGCTGCCAGGCGCTGTTAGAATAGCATGTTTATATAAGGTAGTCCCAGAGCCTCAAATGTGGAGTCGTAAAGACAGAGCCTCACTAGTGGCGTGGTGAAGAGACGCTCAGGTCCCTGCCTTCTCCCTGGGGCTAAGTCCAAGCCAAGTTTATGGCTGTGCACCCTATTGGTGTTTTGCCCTAAACAGCCCCTCCTGACAACACCTGGCAGGGCTCAGAATGTGACTGGTGTGATCTGTCTCTGGGTTTTTACTCCAGGACTAGTGACAGAGAGTTGGAAACCGGTGCTGTTGCCTGAAAACCAGGTGAGGATCATTCCGATATAGAGCCAAACCACATATATTCAGGGGTTGTGTACCCCGGGATTTAACCAACTACAGGTTGAAAATATTTTATTTTTAATTTTTATAAATTTCCAAATTTTAAATATTTTAATTTTTTTTTCCAGAAAGATCTAAGAAACAAAACTTGAATTTGCTGGGCACTATATAGAGTGCATATGAATGAACTGCAGGAACAGCTTGCAGTAGCCCAACCCGCCTATCACAGAGGATCTCAGCCTCCCTCCAACTCTCCTCATATCTCATTTGCTCGTTATGTGGTTGGGACTGTGATGGTTTCATCTGAACTGATGGCTTTGTCTAATCATTATTCCCTAATCAAAACAAAGTAACAGCTATTTACATAGCATTTCCATTGTAGTAGGTATTAAAAGTAATCTAGGGATGATCTAAAGTATAGGAATTGATCATATGCAAATGCTTCATTATTTTATATAAGGAACTTGAACATCCACAGATTTCAGTATTCGAGAGAGTCCTGGGATCAATCCCTCAAAGATGCCAAGGAACAACTTTATATGGAAATAGACTGGATAAAGAAACAGAGCTCAGTACAGAGAAGATAAAAGTTAACTAACTCCAGCGGGATGGATGGGAAGAAATTAGAACACTAAAGAGTCCAACGCCCCATCCACCAAAGCCACTTCCCAACAGAACCATATTTCCCAGTTTGCCTTGCATCTAGGTGCTGTCATAGGATGCTATCAGTGGAATATGAGCAAAGGCGTAAGTGATACTTTCAGACCAAAGAGCTTAAAAAGCAGGAGTACCTGTAACCCCTGACTTTTTACTTTAGATGGTTTCTTGCAGAAAGGCACAACTGTCTAGAAACCACATGTTAAAGATCATGGAACCACAGTGTAGAAGGGCCTGGATCCTTGAATCACCACCTGGAGATGTCATTCTGGATTCTAAGTAAATGCAAAATGAACTTCCATGATGTTTAAGCTTCAAATTTGGGGGAAACAATTAGTGCATCTGGTATCATACCAATACAGTGACATTAGGCCTCTGGACTGGAAGATTACCTTCTACCTTACATTCCTGAATATGTAGTAAATACGTTTCTGTTCTTGCCTACCAAATCCACTGGAAATGTTTATTATGACATTTTTTACTAACCTTTAGGTAGCCTCAGAATCCTTCTTAATATGACAACAATTACCAATTTACTGGCCCTCAGAAAAAACATATATTCGCTATGCCAGAATGACTAAAGGATTCTTGAGATGAGGGTTTAGATATCCATCTCGCAGCACATTTCCAACACATAGCCACAGATCAAAAATGATAGTGAATAAATAAATGCATGAATTACAGGATAGATGTTCCACAAAGACCTCTGATGTATTTTCAACATTCATAATAGCCAGAGCTATTATAAAAATGATAGCTATAAAGACAACTCTAAGAATAATTCCATTTGGGTAGTGGGGCTCCCAATAGATCTCAGGAAACCACACCAGGATGATAGATCTTCATTCACTGTTAGTCCCTCACCTTTTCCTTCACCTCAATCCAAATTGTTCATGTCTGCTTGGAAATCTATTGTCATGAGAGGTCATGGGGGATATCCCCACTGTTTAAATGGTATCTTGAATATCTTTAAGTAGATAATTTAACTGGAGTTCTCCAAGAATATATATATAAATATTACCTGTGATGATGACTATCTCTTTCCTATGTATCACACCTACTCCAATGGTTGGGGTCCTGCACCTTAATCCCACATAGTTATTTCATCTGTTTAAGTAAAGAAAATAGAAATGTCCATTTAACCTATGAAGAGAGGATCCTGGAGAGGATGTGACTTGACAGCGTCGTGGAATATCATAGGCAAGGTCAGGTCAAGAGCCCAGGACTCTCAATAGTTCATCCGCCCATTCATTAATTATTCAGCTAATCGTCATTGAATCCTTCTTTGCCAAGTTCCATCAACAGCTTTTATGACTGCAAACTCTGACAGAATCAGAGATAAACATGGGACCATCCCACGTGGAACCAGCCACTTGGGCACTTCCACTGACACTTTGGGATACTCTGATTCAGACGCTGGCTTCTGTCCCAGGCTGTTCCCATCACAGCGTAAAACATGGCCGCCACGGGGCCTTTCCTTCCACCCTTGCCAGCTGTGCATAAATGTCAGTTTCTTGACTTTTTCTTGAATTCTCCTGGAAGGAGCATGGTGGTATCGTGAGGTGAAAGTTAATGTTCACAGAGGAATAAAGTTTCAGAGATAGTGAAGCACAGACTAGTAATTTGTGTTGTCGTTTTAAAGAAGTCTTTGAAAAAAAAAAAACAAAAAACTTGCTTTTACTCCAAGATTGGCTGCTTCTCCAAAACTTGTTCCAAGACTCCTTATTCAGGTTCGTTTTCCTACCTCCTCCCAAAAAACTTTTAGTTTCACTCCTTATAAACCCTGAAGCACACCATTTTATTCCTGCTTTCACAACTTTGCATAAACAAACCGGATCTTTCCCTCTATCTTTTTAAGCCAGTCCTACTGACTCTCCTAAGTCAGTGCCAACTTTGGCATGTGACTATTCCTTTCCCCTTAACTTACTGCATCCCAGACAGAGGAATTCACATGTACCTTCTCCCTTTGTTTTTTCTTATTTTATATGTCTTTGTCTCATCTCCACTCTATGACGGTAAACCTTGTTCAGAATAGGCAATGAGCTATACTTTCTTAAACAATTTCTTAAAAATTAAAAATTATCACTGTTCTTGTTTTTCAGGTAATGAGTGAGGTTTCAGGCTTCATGCAACGATGCTCTGTTCTCAGGAGGTAATCCAGATTTTGAATTTAAGTGGATTTGCCATTTGCTAGGTATGGCTTCAAATAGACAATTTATACATATATGGAAGGCTTTGGGCATCTGGTCAACCCTCACAGCCTTCCAAGATGGCACCATGCACAGGTCAGGGAAACAGAAATGGCGAGCTGCGGATAGAGTGTGTTCCTCAAAAGCTCATATGTTGGAAAATTAATTCCTCAATGCAGCAATGTTGGAAGGTGTTGGGGTCCTGGATATAGAGCCCTCATGAATGGATTAATGTCTTTCTGGAGTGAGCAAATTCTTGCTCTCTGAGGACGGAGTTGCCTTGAGTGGATTGTTATAAAGCAAGCCCACCCCTCATGCTGTCTCCCCCCAGCATGCACCTGCTTGTCCATTTGCTATCCACTATGAGTTAAAGCAGCCAGAAGGCCCAAACCAAAAGCCAAGCCGATGTCAGTGCCATGCTCTTGGACTTCCCAGCCTCCAGACTGTGTGATACAATAAACCTTTATTCTTGAATCAACTATCCAGTCTTGGGTATTTTGTGATAGCAACAGAAAATGTACTAAGACAGGTGGCATCTTAGAAATGAAGTGGCCTAAATGAAAGTAAAGAAATACAGTCTCTTCCTCTCTAAGTATCTTTTGGAAGTCTTAGGGGAGAGACTACCGATAGGTAGATCCCAAATACAAATGCTAGTCTTCCCCAGTGGGCATGCAGGCTGTCAGCGAGCAAGTCTGGATTGTGGCAGTGGGTGGCATATGTGTGCTGTGCTGACCAGCTTGTGAAAGGGACCTCAATCAATTGTCCCAGTTCTCTCACACCCCAGGCCGGCTGAGGGCCAGGCAGATCTCCACCAGCAAATGTGGTCTGGGCCTTGATATCCCCCCACCCTTTTCCTCCCTCAAAGAGGATTCTGGTGCCAGCACCATATGTCAAAAGACCCAAGCACAATCCTATTACCATGGCAGGAGGCATTAAATAATTACATTAATTTACCTAAATATGGAAAAAAAAATCTTTACAAATCAGGGACACTTGGCAGGTTCTCCGGCTGCACATTTTCTGCTTGGCAAAGCTTACTGTCCTGTTGGGCTCCTATTGCTACTTAGAGTGTTTCCTTTAATTGTGGGGCACATGGCTTCTCTTGTTCTGTTTAATTTTCTTGAAGCTGGTTCCACATTCTGGCTACAAACATATTATAGGGGGAAAAAAAATGCCCACAAAAGTATGGATTGTACTTGAGCATACCCTAAGGGAGAAGTGCATAAAAATAGTAATTTCTTGTATATGAAACCTTCCAAGGGGCGGTCTTTTCACTAGATGGCTTTGC